AAATATTAGGTCGTTTCGTACACACTGCAACTTACTTACTTACTTACGAGACTGATGACTTCACTCATCTCCAAAGACACAGATTGCAGAGTCTAAAGGTCTAGTATGCATCTAGCACCTGATTCAACTTAAGAGGACAACAAGCAGTCTGTTGATGAAGGTCAATGCACGCGCTTAGGTTGCGTAGCTTACATTCTGAACGATGTAGGTAGCGTCTCAGTGGTTTCATTGGACTGCGTACTTTGCGCACATAAAGCACGCAATGACAGAAGGTGAGTAAGAGCATAAAAAGGAAATGTTTACTCTGAGAAGCAGACTCTCCGTCAGTTAGAACATGCAGTTCCGAATTTTATATTTGATATTTGCGCCGCTGCTGAATTTACGTCCAAGCGGGTCGTGTCCCCAAAAATTATGTACGCAAATTGGTTCAAATGCATATTGTCACTTCTAAGATTGCAACTCATTTCTTTGTTTACCGGTAGCCTTCGCTTTTCTTTAACGGAATGACTGATCTTCAGCGACCAACAAACACATGTCATTACCCCACCAGGCATACTTTAAGAAATATCTTTTAAGTGGACCAAGAATTCTGAAACGTCTAGTTTTCGAAGGAATTTCACTCCTTGACTCTTTAATTTAACTGGTTTTACTGAACTTGGCGAATTTCCACGTTAAGAATAACTTATATTAATTTATACAAAATATGTCATTTAAATGAACCTGTAATAATGGCCAGTATGGTGTATATTCGCATATACATTCATATAAATGGATAACTGGCCTTCCGAGTGACATTGTTCCCCGAGTCAATAGGCAGATTTATCTGCAAACAACAAATTAAATCCAGGACTGGTTTTACCAATTACACTCAGTGTTAACGTACACTAGCATTGATTTTTAGGGTGTGAAAGCTCATTTTCACTTTTGAACGTTTTGTAGAGTGGCCAGTCGTATGATTCTTGTTAGTTGGGTGACGGTCCTATTTTTTCTTTGTAATTATCCTATGAGTAAAAGTCAGGTCAAAGGCTCTGAATTATCAGCCAATCATTGAAAATTCGAAACAGCATTACAGGTATTGCCTCTGTAGAAATTTACAATATTTTCCCAAGCCGAAATTGGTCGGCAAACCAAGATTTGTAAATTTAGGCATATACCAAGATAAACCCGTTCTCTTCGAAGCTCGATGCGAAAAATTGTCTTTACACTAGTCATAACTTCCGAACTCGTACAGGAGTTCATCGTCCGTTATAAAAACGACGACAGAACAGACAACAGGCATGAGCAAGTCGAATATCAGTGACACCAGTCTGGGGTGACCGCGCAGGGCTCTATACACCGGTGTCAGATCGATGCATCGATGGACTGGGTTCTCATCTTTTAAATCAAAACATCCTATTCTAAGTGAGTGTTTTTAAGACGAAATTTTTTTGCAACATGACTGCTTACTACTGTCGTCATTGTGTGTGTGTGTGTTTTTGCTACACCGACACAAATGATTGTCAAAATAGGTCTCCTTGGAGGAATTAAGGCGGCGTAAGTAACAGGAGGGACGCACACCTCAAAAGTCAGTAGGTTCCACCTTGTGCAGCAACTATTCCCTAGGTGTTATTTATAGCTCATATCCTTGTGGCCTCTAGTTCCTGTGTTTCAGCGAAGAACGTAGTCAAAACCACGAACGTCTTGAATCGTTTTTCCCGACACAGCGACGAGAGCACATCCGGCTGTTGAGCAAAAGTACCGATCACATAAGAATTACTGGTGAAGAACTCTGGTAATTCAGTTAACCCTTTGTACGAAACTGGACAGCTCAAAGACACCTCTGGATTAGACAAATCAATGCCGCAGGCTATCTAACTGATAAAAGGTGTTGAAATTTAGGAATAATGGCTAATCACTCGCTAACCGACAGCAGTACGTGGACCCAATATCTATGTTAATAGATAACAACTTTAAAAGAATTAAAAACAGAAGAAATATTAAAGTCAACATTACGTTGCTTAAAATACCAGGTTTTAGAAATGCGGGAAAGCCCGAAATGCCTACGTTGTATAGAATCCCATTTTCTATGTACAGGAGACCCGTACATGCTAAAAACTGAGTAAATATGACAGCACAAATAGAATAATCTCTGAAAATAATCTTCCATTGAAATTTACACCTGGATATCTTTTAAGAATTGACGTAATTTCAGGTATAGTGGTTTGCCAACAACCTGAACTCAAAGTATGGATTCCAAAACGGTCTCCCTTGGACTCGTGCTATTCTTTTTGCTTTTGAACTTATTGAGATGCGGTTCAAAAAGGGCAAACAGGAGTTTGCTTGAGTTCACCGGTCGGAATGTCATCTGATTAAAAGTTTTCATAAGGGCGCATGTTGCCAGGCCGGTCGGTGACTAATAAATTTGACAGGTGCAATCGTAAACATATCATTTTACGTATATAAAAATGAACGTTTCATCCATTGAATTAATTTGTTATTTTCGTTTGTTCTGAACTACGAGTTTCAGATCGGTCTTGAGGTAGACCTGGGTACTTCATGATCTTCAGCGTTTTTAACCAGTTGGCCATAAAGACGGATTCTATATCATATGACATTTAAAACCTGAAAAATAAGATACCTCTTGAAGACCTTTACCGAAGTAGCGAATTTTGGGCGTTCTTACTTACATGCATAAAAATATTCATTCTTTTACTTATTCTGTAGAAAATCACGTCTTCTTTCAATTTCATACTCAAAAGAAAAGTATAATTCGGTTTTAAAAAGTTTCTTATTGTGAGATTTTTTAATACCGTTAAATGGCCGTTCATGAAACGTCATGTATCTGCATTTACGAATGTGGCGTGTAAAGTTAACAATATTGCTCAAATCCACTGCTTAATTTTATGAACCTCATATGGTCTCCTCTTAACATCGTAAAGAAATGCATGAAATATTGTTAACTTTACAAGCCACATTCGTAAATGAAGATACATGACGTTTCCTGAACGGCCATTCTGTATCATATGATAGCTAAAACCTAAAAGATAAGATACTTCTTGAAGACCTTGACCGAAGTAACGAGTGTTGAGCGTTCTTTCTTATGTAGATGGCCGTTTAGGTTGCATTTAAAGGCTCGTCCAAACGTGAAACCTCATCGTCGGAAAGAATGAACGTCTAAAACAAAAGTCAACAAGGAATATGTTTCCGATCAGTTTGAAATTTTCCTCGTAGAGGTTGCCTTTTTAAAAAGGCCTTTAATACTGCATTCCCTTGACGGATGCCTGTGTACTTTACACTTTTACACGGTGGAGTCAAGAGGAGATTTGACATGTTCGGCCGTTTCTTTTCCGTTGATAGAGAAAAGTGATATTTTTCTACCGACAGTTCGACCGCCGATTCCGACGATGTCCATCGTGCGCTACACAGCAAAGTGTAGCAGGCACGGTGGCTTGCGCGTGGATTAGTTTATAGTGATAGTGGACTTGCGCAGCGTCTACCGCACCCTATCTTCCCCACTCCCTACCTGGAGCCGGTGTCAAGACAGAGTGGATGGGGGAGGGCGCGTGCGGCTAGCATGGGCGTGCCATCACACCCTCTGGTCCACAAAATACAGTTGACCAAGATTCTTCACCGGTAACAACAACAGCACCCCACCAGGGGTCAGAAGGACGAGGATGACTTGGCAGCCATGCCCACGACCTGTGTACCCAGTGGGAGCACAAGCGCATCTGCCGGCAGGGAACAGCCAGCGCAAACCAGGCTACGAGGGCCATGGTTTGCTGATACTGGCATAGCACACGCTTTCAGACCTTTTGACTTAGGAGGGCGACACGTGGCCTTGCATTTAGCTTGGACCGTCAGCCCTCGAGGCTGGGTAACCAGACAGTCGTCGACTGAGAGGCGCTGCCCATAAAGCACACACAAACACACTCCTTACATGCCTGAGAACGGGCCGTGACAGCCTGGCTCTCAGCCCACCAGTCCACACACACCCCTGGACAGACTGCGCGGACTGAGTTGGGGCGTCAGTCGACTGCCTTCCGAGCCACGGCGATCGACGCACCGTCCGATCACACATACAGCGGGGAAGCCGCGTGGAGAAGGATCCGAGATGCACACTTCCCCTTGCGCAGGAGGTGGCAATTGGGTGCTTGTGGTGGGTGATGTTGAGGAGCGGTGAGATGCTGGTGAGGGAGGGTGTGATGGTGTGGCGCAGCCGACACTTATCTGCCGCGGGTTTTCGCGCACACTCATATGGTCGAAGAGGCCCATGCGGTGCATGAATGTGCAAATGAAATGTGGACAGTGGAGGCGGATGCAGCGGGTGTAGGTTTGTGCTCCAGGCACTGATTCGCTAGTCTCTGTGCGATGGATTCACAAGTGACTGACCAGGCGGATGCGTGAGGTGAAGGTGCGGTCGCAATGAGAACAGGTATAGACCAGGTCCTCATTACTAGTGTTGACGGAGGTGGTGTTGGTGTTTGTCGATGTGTCAGGATTGTGTGTAGTGTTGATGGGCATGACAGACGCCACAGCGGCAGACGTTGGAGGCGATGGAGGAGGAGGATGGTAATGGTGGTTCGGGAGGGCTGTCAACGTTAGCTGACGGCGTGGGAGGCGAGTGCGAAGTGGACGGAGAGACGACGATCGATGTAGTCAGGGTGCTGCAGTTGATTCGGAGGTGTTTAACAGGTCTAATTGGCGCCCTGAATGTCCTCTGACATCGTGGGCACGTTGGAGGTGGTTGGCCGTTGGCGTTGGGAGGCTGCGGCAGCGCAGCAGTTTACATTTGCTAGCGTCGCGTTTGCTCTTGACAGCAGTGATGCGGTTGGTTTCGTAGATCACTGCGCCTGTCTTCAATGTTCTCCACCGTGTCGGTAGGTCGGTCTCGGGCGAGGTCTTCCCAGTTGACCGGGTTGCTCTGCAGACGCTTCAGGGAGGCCTTTAGAGTGTCCTTTTATCAACGAATTTAGCCTCTTTGGCGACGGGAACCCGTGGCGACATCTCTGTAGAAGAGCTGTTTAGGTAGCTGCTCGTCGTCCATCTACACTACTTGGCCGCTCCAACACAGTTGCAATTGTCTCAACATGGCGTAGATGCTGAGGATTCACCGTCCTTTCCAGTACACCCGTTTTGGAGATCCGGTTCTGCCATCTCATCTTCAATATCCGTCGAAGGTAGCTGAGGTGGAAGTGATTGAGTCTCCGCGCTTGCTTTATGTAAACCATCCAGGTCTTGGCTCCATACAGCAGCGTCGGCGGGATGACAACCGTGTACATCATCAATTTGATGTTGAAATGGAGACCATGGCGGTTCCAGATGGTGTTCTGAAGACAGTCGAAGACTTGGTTGGCTTTGGTAATCTGGCGAGCCACTTCATCGTCAACTTTGGTGTTAAGGGAGAGCGTGCAGCCCAGATACATGAAGTTGTCCACCTCTTGTGGTTGGGTTCCGTCCATGTTGATTTGAGGTGTGACATAGACAGTGTCGGGTGGCGGTTAATGCACAAACACCATCTTCTCCTTGTTGATGTCGAAGTTGTGAAAGTGAGGACGCAGTCGTCGGTGAAGAGAAGTTTATGAACGGCAGTTGGCGGTGCACGCGACTGGAAGTGCATCCACCGCTGATTGAGGTGGGCCGTCCATCCTGTAGGTGATGCGGATCCCAGGACGCGGGGACGCAGCTCTGCTTCACTCCGTTAGTCACTGCGAATGCCTCTGAGACTCCGTGGCCCGTGCCATCATGTCGTCGTAGAACTGACGCACCATCAGAGTGAATCGTCCGGGACAGCCGAATTTCTGCGTGATTTTCCACAGTCCTTCACGATTCACCGTATCGAAGGCTTTCGTCAGATCTACGAGAGTAGAGTACAGGTAGGTCCGCATCTCTTGACACCTCTCTTGAAATTGACGGACGGCGAAGACCATGTCCGTGGTCCCACGATGACGGCGGAAGCCGCACTGGCTTTTCGGCAGGAGACACTGTTCCAGGTGGTTGAGAAGGATGCGAGCGAAGATTTTTCCGGCGGTGTTCATTAAGAAAATACCTCAGTGATTGTCGCAAAGGTAGCGAAAACAGTTCCCATTGTAGAGGTGGACGATTGAGGCGTCCTTTAAATCCTGCAAGACTTCTCATTAACGCCACATTTCCCGGAAGAGCGTCGTCAGATGATCTATGAGTTGGAGGCCATCGTGCTTGTAGATCTCAACAGGATTGCGTCCGATCCGAGTGCTTTCTCGCTGAAGAGCTGCTGCTCGGGTCTGATGGTTTCGTGAAGAGAGAGTGGGAGGTCGAGGTCGGCGTTGGTCTCCACTTGAGGCAGACCGACAATGGCGACGTTGGAGATGGTGGAGGAGAGGTTGAGGACACCTCGGAAGTGCTCGGCCCATCGCTGTAGAATTTGTGTCTTTTCAGTGAGTACGGCCTTTCCGTCGGCGCTGAGAAGAGGAACAGTACCTTTGGTTGGTGGACCGTAGACAGCCTTGATCCGAAGAAGAAATTCTTCCATTCGTTGCGGTCCGCGTACCCTTGGATCTCCTCGGCCTTTCGGGCCTTCCAAGCACCCTGCATCTCGCGCAATCGCTTTTGCACGAGGCGGCGTCTACGGTGGGGCGGTCGACGTAGGCTTTGTACAGGCGGTTCTTCGCGACGAGCAGGTTGCTGATGGCGGCGTCGTTGTCGTCGAATCAATCTTGGTGTTGGCGACGTGCGCGACCGAGGACGGCCAGCACCGTCGACTGGCCTGTGTCCCGCAGTTTACATCATCGGTTCCCCACGGAGACGCTCTCGTCGGCGGCATCGGCGGTGGCGGCAGCAGCGACTAGGAAGCCGTTGAGCTAGCTCGTTGACGAAGCGGAGATGATGAGCAGGTAAAGACAACAAAGCAGCATTTAGCGTACCTTGGGGGTCGCTAACCTTGAGGTCTTCTGCGGGGCTGTGGGCAAATCCGCATCTTCGAGATGATGAGACGATGGCGGATCCACCCGCCGGCACCCCAAGTCGCCTTTGTCACCAGCACGGCCCGCTGGTCTAGCCTACGGAAGAGGACATAGTACAATAGATGCCACTATCACGACGAAGGGTGCATTCAGATTGCATTCTTTCGCGTCGGGAGGCGGAAGTAGGCGTTGGCCGGGATGAGCCGATGTTCGGTGCAGGTTCGTAGGAGAAGTAGACCATTGTCATAGGAGCTGTTGATACCATGGGGAGCCAGCACACCTCTCGAGGCAGCCTGGTCTGTGCCGATGCGGGCGTTGAAATCACCAAGGACAAGCAGATTATCCGCCAGGAGGGCGTGCAGGTCCTCGTAGAATTTATCCCTTGTAGCGTCAGGGCTGGTCACCGGGGAAGTAAAGACTGTGGCGATGGTGGCAAATTCGCCTTCCGAAAAGGCAGGCGGAGGCTCATCATGTGATTGTTGATGCTCTAGGACAGACAGGGCAGTCGTCCTACGATGTCATTCCGGATGGCGAATGCGACACCCGCGTCTCGTCGTTCTGCCCTGGGGCGACCGCTCCAGAAGAAGGTGTAGCCGGCACCCACCTCCTCCAGTTGGCTTTGTTCGGTGAATCGGGTGTCGCGGAGTGCGGCGATGTCCACCTTGTAGCGCGCCAGTTCCCGAGCCACTAGCACAGTCCTCCATTCCGGTGGGCTGTTCCTCGGATGGTCTAAAAGGGAACGAACATTCCAGGCCGCCAGTGTGAGCGGACTCACCCACCAGTCTGGCGAGTGGGGCGGCAGGGAAGGGGGAGGGGGAAGAGAGAGAGTGTTGTTTCGGATTTGTTTCGACCGTGAGTTTTGCGTCTAAGGCCACGGTCAGCCTGCAGGCGGAGTAGGTCCCCAACATTTGGTTACGTCACCTTTTCTAGCCCCTTCCCCTTCGCGGGGGTGAGCAGTGCTCTCCCTAAATAGGGCTGCCCATTTGTGTCAGACGGCTGCCGATCTCCACTATGAGCCACGGCCCGAGTTTACCTGGACCTGCCTACGACATCGTCATAGAGCTTGCAGGGGGTAGAGGGTAGGTTGGAGAGACAAGAAACGGAGCTGTCCCGTCACTCCCTCAGCGGGCTGGTTGCTGAAATACAATCTGGGAGTAGACACGATCAGCAGAACGACATTTAGCTTTCAGTAAGGACGGACGCGAACAAGTAGACAAAAGGGGGCAGGCAAGAACAGCAAGAAGCAAAGACTAACAAAGGACATTCAACAGAACGACATTAAGTTTTCATCAAGGACAAACACAAAACAAGGAGACAGAAATTAAACGAATAAGAACAAGCAAAGCAAGGACAGCAAAGCAATGTTCGCATGCCTGGGGGCTCACTTACCTTGTGGCCTCCTGCGGTGTTGCAGATGGAGTCTCGTCCCGACGATGTCGACGCGAAGATCCATCCGGCCAGCGGAGACCACACGGATACTCTTACCTGGTTTAGCCTTTCGGTCGAGGCGGTTACCGGTGTGTGGCCGCTTGGCGGCGTCACATGTGTGAGTTGAGTGCTAGCAAATGGACGCTAGGCGTAGTCTACACCTGCAAGCGATTGAGCGACCTACTACGACCGTCACATGGACCCAAAACTGGAAACCCCTACATTCCCATTTTTCTACCGCAAACATAAGAACATGCCTTCTTTTTATATTGTGTCCACTTTTGCTATCTTTTCTCACTTTTTGACTTATTTCTACGATTATTACTGCCGTGCGGAGTGGCCATATAAGCACCAATACTTTGCTGAAACGGTCAGTGTTTTGCTCGTTCCATCTTTAAATTACGTACATGAAAGTAGACCGCACGAAAAGTAAGTTTTCATATGCTGACGTATTCACGTCTTATAACCAGCACAAATTTCTTCTATAAGGTGTTGCGTAAATCAGTCTCTTTTTGCATTTTGCAAGTTCTCACATCCTGTCCTGCAGCCGCAGGGAGTGTTTATCTGGAAGACGTTTTATGGGATTGGTTAAAGACAATCAGAGAATTCACAATCGTCAGACCTTACAGTGAGGGAAGTGAGACCCATTTGCACATTGCAATTTCTGCCGACCCACTGCTTCACAGCTGCTTCCACGTAAATACATTTCGCGAGGCGAATTACGAAGAAATGGCCTGCAACCTTACATTCCCTCATGTTAGAATCTGGACAGCGCGGATGGTAAGTTGCCGTCTTCGGGAAATATCCAAATATTTTGTTTATTTCCCCCCCTTCCCCATTGCTACTCAAAAAGGGTATGTTTAAAAAGTCCTCTGACGGAGTATGGCGTAAAAGACATGAGCAAGAAGATAGCTTCTCAAGTCGCCACATCTCTCGCCTTTAAGCAGCATTATAGGGATGCCTTTTGCAAAGAGACACGATTAACCAAATTCTGCAGTAACACAGACCGCTGACATCAAGTGGGTATGGTTTGTAAAGTATTCACCTGGCATTTTGAAGCGCCGAAATGACTTTTCACGTTAAACACGTAGATTCACCATTTTACTTAAAACCCATATTGCGCTTTAGCTGTAAACTTGTCTCAAATTTCCTTTCACTTAACAGCATAGGTTTAATTTTGGAAGTAAAAATTTTCTATCAGATGAGATTAGACTTAGGAGAATGATTTATTTCATGTATATTTTATCCGTTCGTGTAACATCATAGCATAGAAATACTGGATGTGGCGGAACAGTACACACAAAGCATGTGATTGCTAACAGAAAAAATGAAAGAGTAAATAAAGTAACTGCCAATTGATTAATCTGTCAATGGCACCGGAGTGCATGTGTTTATTATTGACGATAAAGCAAGTAAAAGGGCATGTGAATATTTTAAAAAGTCTATTTTCCGGTGGAAGACAGCCCTGTGGTCAACTGTAAATAAGTGTTGACATTCCACCCGCCTGAAGAACTTAGGATGTCGATAGAAGCAAGTAAACGAGTCCCAGGAATAAGTCGTGAAGAAGGAGACACTATCGCTGGCACAAGAGCCTTATTCACCTGACGTTTCGGATTCCTGCTCGGACCCATCATCAGAGACAAAAGCAGATACGGGTGTTTCATGCGCAAGGGACTGCAGTATTTATAGGTTTCAGTCGCAATGCTACCGCATACCTATGAATATTCACGGCCCCCCCCCCCCACCAGGGATCGTTGCACTTGGTGGGATGAGTGTTTTATAGCCGATATCCGCGCCGTTAATTACTGAAATTTAATCACGAGTGTTTTACGTTGGCGTGATGATTGCTTGACCATCTGACACACCGACCCTGGCATTGGGGACAGTGTTCACCTGTGCGCTCCTCGCGTAGGGTCTCGCCATGCGTCTGTCTGTCGGTATTATTGTCTTTGGAGAACTCGCGTGCAATGACACCGGCAGACAGACGCATGGCGAGGACCCAAGATACGGTTTTGACCCGATTCTAGGGTCTCCTGTATGCCAAGAATGTTTCGGAAACTGTCGGCCACCTTCTCGCTCCACTTGAGGTTTGAGTTGCACACAGATCGGAGGCAACCATCAGGCGTCTGGCAATGAAACCGAATGACCCGCTGCCACGGCAAGAAACGTCTGGAGTCGTTAATCGGAGCTGGTGCAGTTGCGGACAAAGAAACTTCGTCGGGAAAACCGGAAAACTGCTCCGAACGCGAATGACCGAACACGCGGCAGCGATGCGGGGAAATGACGCCAGCTCTCAAGATGCGGCTCATTCGACGAGATCCGGCCACACATTCAAATTCGACGACGCCGAAATTCTCGCAAGAGATGACAACCGCGTAAGCTGCGAGCTGCTTGAGTCATGATTAACTGGACCCCAGTCCATTAACAAGTGCAACGACCTTCCCCTTCCATATTTGGTGCTGATACTCTGCCTAGACGGGGTAATTATCCACGCGGGGAGCGCATAGGTGAGCACTGTTCCCAACACCAGAGCCATTGGGTCAGATGGTCGAGCAATCAGCACGCCAACACCCAACACACGTGATGAAACTGCAGCAATTAACGGCGTAGATATGGGCTATCAAACAGTCATCCCACCAAGTGCAACGATCCCTGGTGAAGGATGAGGGAAAGCCGCGGTAGCATGGCAACTACATCCTGTAAATACTACAGCCTCTTGTGCATGAACCACCCGTATCTGGTTTGGTCTCTGATGATGGGTTCGAGCAAGAATCTGTAACGTCAGTCGAATAAAACTCCTGTACCAGCGATCGTATATCCCTCTTCACGAACTTTGGATATGTCTCATCAAACGCCTTCCGAAAGAATTTAACAACTTCCCCTGTGCAACGATGACCATATCTCCCATGACGCATATCTTGTTATGTCTGTCATCCAAATTTATATTTGAGAAAAAGAACTGTATGGGCGACACCTGCGCTTATCACGAAGCAGTTCTGGATTTATTGACAATTGACGTGGATAATGTGGATGCTACAGCCCGCATCCATCTAAGTTCTGACGAAATATCTTACAAACAAATGCTGCAATTCAGAGGACTCGCGTTTAAACGACCCTTTTACCAAAGTAACATCGGGGAGGATACGCTGTGCTATGCCATCGCGCAATCTCAATGGAAACGGAATACCCTGCTGAGACTGGACACACTAGCGGAACAGGCAATTTTGAATGTTGCAGGTTTATCGTGCCAACTGTAGAACTCTTTACTAGTACGTCTGAGGATGTAGATGACTTTGCTCTGTCTTCATCCATAATAGATCTGTGACACAGGGCGTGTGTTAATTCAAGCGCCATCTTACGCAAGGTTTTCATTTCCTGCAGTTTTCTGGTTATTTCTAATAGGGAAGGATAGACAGAAGACAGATAGTCACACTCCCGCATACAAGGCAGTACTGCATTCCTATGTGAACTCCATGTCACTCTGTAAACATAAGTTCGTAATGTAGAAGGGCATGACCAACAAAGACAGGGGAAACTGGGGTAGCTGTTTCTGGTTTATTAGCCGTCATCGGCCAGCCAGTATCAACCCCAGGTTTTGCAAACCCTAAGGCTCCAACCCAGACAGGTTGATTAGAAACCAGTCGATTGTTGGAGTCGATTAGTCGTCTGGCATCAGGACTGGGCGCAATGGCTGACAGAAATGCAAGAGCCCGTTTACGTGAGCTACACACGATCAGGTTGCGCCAAATAACACGTTTCTCACTTACGTGAGAGGTGCCTATTCCGTGCTTTTGGCAGATGATAGTTGATGGATTTTAATGTGGTCTATTGACTCGTGTGGTGATGGGTTGGGTCTGCGGTATTTTGCCGTAGTCTTTTACGAAGGCACATATGGCCGAACAGAAATATACGGTGTCTGAATATGTGCGCGCAGTGCGGGCGGTTGGAACGAGTGTGCGGTTGTATGTATGTCGAAGCTCCAGGAGCTGATTCGCCGGTCTCAGTGAGATGGATTCACAAGTGGCCTGCTGAGGATTCCGGTTCTTAGGAGGACTTGCGTGTCAGGCATCCTGCTCCTGCGCCTCACTTCCAGTAATCCCTGAAGAAATTCGGGGGTGGGAGCGACTGCGTTCCCAGGATTTTTTGGCACAGACAATCCATGTCTCCGTTCCCTACACTAGCATCGACAGAAATGTTGCCCTGTAAGCCTTGAGCTGAAGTCCACAGCGAGTCTAGACGAAGATCTATAGCCGGCCATGGGACTGGCTGATTTAGAAGACCCCATGGTAGTGTTCCGTGCGAGTGTACAGTCTAGGTAGATCAATTTGTCCGCTGTTTTAATTTTAATGCCGTTGGCACTGGTGCAAAGACCGTTCAACTACTTGTTGTGCATCGACTGATGCATAGCCATCAGCGACACATGCGCAGCCGGCGGCGAAGAGGTCCATGCTCCTCTTCATATCCACTTCCGACACTCTTT